GCATCCTCGACGGGCTCACGTCGACTTGTGGCGGCTGCTCTGGCACGCGCTCGAGGATCATGGAGGCATCAGCGACATCCTCACCATCGAGTACGTCAAGAGCCACCAGACACAGGAGGACAGCAGGCATCACCATGGCAAGAAGGGCAATGACTATGCCGACGTGGCGGCGAAGAAGGGGCTCGCCAAGCACGACATCCCACCAGCGGCGCGTGCTCGGCATCGTGAGCTCCTGGACCGAGTCCGCCAGATCGCGGCCTGGATCGGCAACACGCAGGAGCTGGTCGAGACGAGGCCCGACAGGATGCCGACGGTCTCGAGGCGAGCTCGACGGCAGCAGCGACTCCGACGGGGTCGTCCACGGCGAGAGCGGCGGCCTCCTGCGCCGCTCTTGAGCCACCAGCGGCGCCATGCACCTGAGCGCGCGCTGTGTGGCTGGAAATGCGCTAATTGTCCGCGCTTCGCGCGTTCCGCCGCTGGTAAGAGGCGAATGATGGCGCAGGTTTGTTTTGTAGATCTCCCTCTGCCTAGGACTGTGGACCCGCAGCCCCCGTCAGCCCCCAGAGAGCCTGAGCCCCTTAGGACCAAGCGCCCCAGGGACCCCTCGGAGGCCTCGGAGGGCAAGGTGGCGTGCCCGCGGCTGGAGGCCAAGCCGGCCTCAGGGGATCCCGAGGAGACCTCGCCTCCTCCTCCTCCTGCTCCTCCTCTTGGCCTTGAGGACCCTCCTCCTCCTCCGCCTCCTCCTCCTCCCTATGGGGTGGCCCAGGAGTCCAGGAGCCAGGCCAGGCCAATCAGGGAGCTGGCGGAGCCTTTCGTGAGGCAGGTCAAGCCCAGGGTTCGGTTCGAGTCGCGTCCCCAAGGGGTGGTCCGCGAGGCGGCGACTGCCCTCGACGGCTCGAAGAAGCGCCCCCGTCTGGCGGCCCCTAGTAGGGCCACGGCGGCCCCTCCCAGCACGGTGCTCCCGTCGGATGGGGATGCGTTCGTGCCGCCCGAGGCGGCCCGAGGTCACATCCTGTACAGGGCTGGGGAGATCGTAGGATGCACGAGGTGTGGCTCCTTCTCAGCGAAGGCCGCCCGTTCCGACCTGTATGGCACCTGTGACCCGCAGGCTCTCGTGTCCAACCCCCAGCGGAGGTGGCGCCGAGATAACTTCGCTTCGGGCCGTCATCCCAGTGACGGCCGAAAGCACCCCATCCCCATGCCCCGTAGGGTCCAGGTTTCAGACCCTGCTGTGCAGTGGCTGGGATTGCATCAGACTTTAACGCATTAAATTCCGTTATAACTCGTTTTGTATTTTCCCGCGTGCAGGGCATTGTCTGGTGAGTCGATCGTCGGTGCTTGCATGCGTTTGCTCCAGGTTCTGCTTTCCAGTTCCTGTGTTGCTCCTGGCCAGGCCTCTGGTTGGTGAGTGAGCGTGTGCCCTGTGGCCGTGATGCTTTGCTGGGCTATTGCAGGGTGTGCCCTCGTCGTTCTGTGTGCGATTGTGCTTCTCACCTTTTCCCATTCATCCTGCCTGTCCTTCGTCTCGACTCGGCGCGTCGCTTCATGTGCTCGTTGCTCCTCCTCCTCCTCCTCCTCCTCCTCCTCCTCCTCCTCCTCCTCCTCTCCTCCTCTCCTCCTCCTCCTCCTCCTCCTCCTCCTCCTCCTCCTCCTCCTCCTCCTCCTCCTCCTCCTCCTCCTCCTCCTCCCCCCCCTCCTCCTCCCCCTCCTCCTCCTGGGGCCGGGACGACGGGCCCCAGGACCCTCACATATCGATCGAGCATGAGATCTGGCGCAGGAGCGTGGGCTCTCGGGCTCCTTCGGCTGTGACTCTTCGCGGTGCTGTGACGGTCTCGATTCGTCGAATCTCAGGGGAGGCGCACGAGTCCCGAGGGTACGGTCGGGCCGGTTTCCCCCCCGTTCTGACCTCCCGGAGCCCTGCACGGGGCCCGCAGGGACCGGCAGCAGAGGTCCGCCTGGACCGAAGCGCTGGCCCCGGGGGCGGGCCCCAGGGTCAAGGGGCCCGTCTGCCCGAGGACCCGCTCGTGCCATGCCGGCTAAGAGACTGGAGCAGATACGGTCAACCCGCACAGTAAGGACGAGCAACTTTCCCTTTGGGCCACGATCCCTGCAGGGCGGCCGCCACTGCAGATCTCGAGGTGTTTCGTTTTTGTCAGGCCACTGTCGGGCCGCACTCGGATTCGTGTTTGTCTTGTTGATATTGTGTTTGGTCGGGTGTCTGGTGTATGTGTATACGCTTGTGTGCACGTATATATGGTTACACAATCGTACATGTCTTAGCCAGCGTGAGCTCCGAGCAGTGTGCGTGTTGCAACACATGTAGTGCAATATGTGTGGTGAAATCTAAGTGATGCTATCTGAGTTGATCAATACATGTGGTGCCTATGTGGTGCAGTGTATGTGGTGCTACATATGTGGTGCAATATATGCTATGCGATGTATGTATACACATTGTATAGATATATGTATGTTTGTGTAGTGACATAGATGTGGTGCAGCCTCGGCTATGAAACAAACATGCAGTACTATATGTTGTGCAGTCGAATGAGATACAACACGTGTGGTGCACTTCATGTTGTATTATCTATGTACAACAATTTGCACGGCGCAATGTATGTTGTGCAATCCGTGTGGTGCAGTCTAGTTTGTGCAACTTATGCGGTGCAGCACATGTATGTATGTATGCATGTATGTATGTATGCATGTATGTTTATGTATGACGCAATGTATGTGGTGCAGTCTATGTAGAGCAATCGATGAGGTGCAATGAGTGTGGTGCAATCTAGGTTGTGTGTAATATCTGTGGGGCTGGCTATGCGGTGCAGCATACGTGGTGCAATCTATGTGGTGCAATTGGTTTTTTACACGAGTCAACAAATTCCATATATACTCTTGTACAAATCCCACGCAGCCACCCGCAACTTGGTTTGCAAAACCCATGCGGCGGCGATTGCGATGAGTGTTTGTGGTTGGCTGGTGCATCTCTGCGGCCGCGCTAGCCTGCGCATGCTCGCGCGCAGAGCGGCCAATTAGCTAGTTCGGCGCGACCGACGCGGCCGCGGTGGCTCTGACCGCTGGGCACTTCCACCGGGCACTCCAGTGCGAGTCGGTGACTTGGGCGGGTGCGGTGTCATGGCGGCGACGACAAAGGTAGACACGATTATGCGAGTGGCGACGGTGACGAAGGTGGTAACGGCGACAGCAGAGTAACTAACGGCGCCGATGATGATCACGCCCGCCGATGGCGATGACGATGTCCTCGCGTCGGCGATGGAGGTTTTGGAAGGAGTTCGACATGCGCGCGCGGCCGACGCGCGCGGGTGGCCCGCGTGGCACTGTTTGGCTCGGATCGTGCCCCCCCCCCCCCCCCCCGCAGGCGCGCAAGGACGTTCGAATGAGTTCGACACGCGGCGCGAGAGGCCCGTTTGGAAGAATTGACTGAACAGGTTGGAAAACCGGAAGTGTTTTGCTAGAAAAAAGAATCCGCATGGGCTCCAGCGCAGGCGTGTTTGACAACCGATGTTGCACAACCGTGTGTTTTTGTACGTTTTCGGGGCAACCAATTTTGAAATCTTTACGACGCCGCAGGTTTTGAAAGATTTCGGCATGCGCGTCGCGCGACGACGCGCGCGTGTGTGCATTTCGTGTGTATATATATATACACGTGCAAACGTACATACATACATACATACATACATGTATGCATGCATGCATACATACATACATACATACATACATACAATACATACATCGGGGGACCAGGCCCGGGGGGCCCTGGGGCCGGGACCCCGACCGCAAATGGGGGAACAACCGGGAAACTTGCCTGCCTGTGGGGCGCCCACTGTCGCCTCTGAGAGCCATCAGACTGCCGTTGCGGCGGCCACATCGGCCCTGAGTCGCCCCCGCGATGCCTTCCAGGGGTCTCCGTCGGCCCAAGGTGCTTCTCAAACGGACCAACAGGCGTCCACGACGCTTCAAGACCGCTCCAAAGAGGACCCCCAAGGAGGCTCTGAGAAGCAACAGTCGTCCCATTTCCGTCGAGCACTTTTTGTTAGCATATTTCTTTGTTTGGTTTCAACACGGTCCAGCACGGTCCAAGACATTTCCCAAACCGCCCTGGGGTTGCCCAAGAGGCCCCAAAGAGGGCCCATGGACGGCCCAAGAGGGCCGCGAGACAGACCAAAAATCCCAGAAGGTACCCCAAGAGGGCCCCAAGATGGGCCCAAGAGGAAAACCCAAGCTAACATTTCGATCCCTCAGGCCAAAAATGACCCCCGAGGCCGCCAACAGGCCCCCAACAGGCCCCACGAGGCCCGAGGGAGGCCCAAAAGAAAAGGCCCCCAAGAGACCCCAGGAGGCCCCCGGGAAACCCCCAGAGACCCCCAAGAGACCCCAAACGGGGTTCCGAAACAGCCGTGAAGCTGATGCACTGTTTTAAGACGAATGTGCGTGACGCTTGGGCGAGAACCACATTTTGAAAAAGCACCCGCCCTCCATCCGTGACGCTCTTGCAATCTTTTGAAGACGAGTGTGCCTGATGCAAAGGCGAGAACATCTTGTTTAAAACGGCCCGCCCTCCATCCGTGATGCTCTTGCAACGTTTCATCTGAGGGGTCGTATGTAATGGTGAGGACATCTCTGGCGAAACGCCCAGCCCGCCCAATCGACCCACCGCGGGGTGCGACAGGGAGGAGTTCTCTACACGGAAGGGGGATGGAGGAGGAGGAGGAGGCGGGGGGCAGGGGGAGGAGGGGGAGAAGGTAGGAGGTGATGAGGGAGGAGGGTGGAGGAGAAAAAGGAAGAGGAACGAGTAGGTTGAGGAGGAAAAAGGAGGGAGAGGAGGGAGGAGGAGGACGAGGCAGAAGGCGGAGGCAGGGGAGGGAGGAGAGGAGGATGATGATGAGGAGGAGGAGCGAGGCCGCCCCGATCCTCGACCGTTGATGCCTCCGCCTCGCTGCTGGAACAAGCGGGAGCGCGCACAGTGGAGGGGTGGCCCGCAGGACTGGCAGGAGGAATACGGCGCGCTGTGCGAAGAGCACGGCCAGGAGACGGCCCACCGTCGCGTGGGGCCGGGGCCTCGGAGCTCAGGACGATGGAAGTGGGTACAGCATGGCGACGAAGGTTCGTGGCGCCCGCAAGGGGGCGGCGCGAGGGGGGGCGGCCCTGTAAGAAGGCGGGGGGCTTCTCAGAAGGCCCTGGGGCTTCTGAGAGGGCTTCTCAGAAGCCTGGCGGGGTTCCAAGAAGCCCAGGGCCTGCAGGACACCCCACGCTGTTCAAGACACGCTCCCCCGTGCCGCCATCCTGATAGACGGCCCGCACCGCAAGTCCCCAACGCGATCTGGCCCTCCCACGCTCTGCGAACGGCAGCCCGATTTTACCTTACCACGCGATGCCCACGCGTATGGAACCACTCGGGGTACCAGGGAGGACCTGGGGAAGCCAGCGGAGGAGGGCCGCTGCGCCTCCAGCCGCCGCCGACGACGGCAGCGACGGCATCGACGACGACGGCATCGACGACGCCGACGCCGACGCCGACGCCGACGCCGACGCCGACGCCGCCGCCGACAACGACGAAGACAAGGCGACGCCGACGCCGAAGACGCCGCCGACGCCGCTGACGACGGCGCAGGCGGTGCCGGCCAGGGCTACGGTGGCAACGGTGGCGGCGGCGGCGGCGGCGGCGAGGGCGGCGACGGCGACGATCCGCGCCCCCGGTCGGGGCGCGCGCGGCGGCAGGATCCCGCCGTCGGCGTGCCCGTGGAGCTGCTGGCCAGGCCGCCGCGCGCGCGCTCCCTCCCAGCCCCGGGGCCTCCAGGAGACTCGCTTATCCTCGGGGCTCAAGAGACGGGGGTCAATGCAAACGGGGGTCAGCCAGGGCACCAGATCCTGCAGGATCCTGCGAAGACCCCCTCTGGCTGACCCGGGTTAACGAGCCGCTCGTGACCACGAGGCGGCCGCTCGTGACCACGAGGCCGGCTCGCTTATCCCCTTCCCAGAATCTCGGGGGCCACATGCGAGCCCTACCCCTACCCCACTCGATTTCTGAAGGGGGAGGGTGGGGTCCACTTGGCTCGGGAGCTCCCGAACGGAGCGAACCCCACCCTCCCCCTCAGAAATCGTGTGGGGTAGGGGTAGGGTTCGCATGTGGCCCCCTGTAATCGGGGGCCCCCAGACGTGTGGTGACCACACCGTGCGGTGAGTCGGTGGGGATTCGGGGTCACCGCACGGTTTTGGGGCTTGAGCCCCTCTCCGAGGCTGTCTCGGGCGAGGAGGGCCTCCGGGGCCCCAACACCGTGCGGTGACGGACCGTGCGCTGAGGTCTTGGGGGGGAGTTCGGGGTCACCGCACCGCCCGTCACCGCACCGTTTCGGGATTCCAGACATGAGAGGCGGCCGGGGTTGCGTCACGCTTCGCGCCCGCTCCGTTTGGGCATGGCAAGGCGTGTCGCATTCTCGCCCTGCGCCGGCGCGAATCGTGAGGTGGCCAGGGGGGAGCAGGAGGAGGGCCAGTTCAGCCACGAGCGTTTTTTCGCGAAGAATGAAACAATAAGCTCGAGGCGTCGCGGGGGAGGCAATAGACGCACGAGATCAGAAGCACTACGAGCGTCTTCCGTTCACGCGTTGGGCCTCGGGGATGGGGGGCTGCTTCGCATGCGATTTTTCGCCTCCGCATATCTTCGAGCTCTCCCCCCCGAGAAAATTCGCGGGCCAAAAGACAACGCGAAAACGGGTGTTCGAAGTGCACTCCCAGGGGGCTATTCGGACGCCCCCCCCTCATCTCGGGGAAAGGTCAGACTCCAGTTCCCCGGGACTCGGGTTTGCCGACGCGTTTTGACGGGCCCGTCCTGAATTTTGACGGGCCAGTGTTCGTGACATGGTTGCCGCGGGAGCCTGCGTCAAGTTTCAAGCTGGGTCTGCCAACCCGAATCTCCCGAACCCGAGTCTGATGCCCCCCCCGACCATCGTGCCTTCCCGCGACGGTCCCCAAACCACCCGCCCGGCCCGTCGAACGTCGAGGACGGGGCCGCTGTACCTCCTGTTGCCACCGGTGCTGCCGCCCACGAAGCCGTCCCGCCGACGTCGGGAGTTCCCGCGGCCCGCGGGCGCAAAGCTGCCGCGATGCCTGCGGCCGGGGCATGGGGTCCTCGTCCTCCCTCTGCCCCTGTGCATCCGTGTCTCGGCGTGGTCTGCGACCCAGCCAGGCAGAGCTGGCGCGCCCCGCTCCTCCTCCCCCTTCTCGCCCTCCCGCCCCCCTGCTCTCCTCCCCGCCCCCGCCCGCCCCCCCCGCCCCCTTCTCGTGTCCCCCGCGTCCGTCTCCTCCCCCATCCCTCCCGGCGAGGCTCCCTGCTTCTCCCCCCTCTCCTTCCCCCTCCCCCCGGAGAGCTCACCACAGACCGCCCAAGGGCCCCCGAGGGGGCCCCAGGAGGATGCTTGCATGATGCAGGCAATTCCGAGGCTCGAGAGCAGCCTCCAAGAACCCTCCGAGGTGTCCTCGAGAGGGCGGAGGAGGAGGAGGAGGAGGAGGAGGAGGAGGAGGAGGAGGAGGAGGAGGAGGAGGAGGAGGAGGAGGAGGAGGAGGAGGAGGAGGAGGAGGGAGGAGGAGGAGGAGGAGGAGGAGGAGGAGGAGGAGGAGAAGGAGGGGAGAAGGAGGAGAAAAAGTAGTAGGAGGAGGAGGAGGAGGAGGAGGAGGAGGAGGAGGAGGAGAGAGGAGGAGGAGGGAGGCGGAGGCGGAGGTCGAGGCGGAGGCGGAGGCGGAGGCGGAGGCGGAGGCGGAGGCGGAGGAGGAGGAGGAGGAGGAGGAGGAGGAGGAGGAGGAGGAGGAGGAGGAGGAGAGGATGGGAGAATGAGGAGGAGGAAGAGAGGAGGAGGAGGAGGAGGAGGAGGAGAGGAGGAGGAGGAGGAGGAGGAGGAGAGAGGAGGCGGAGGAGGAGGCGGAGGTCGAGGCGGAGGCGGAGGCGGAGGCGGAGGAGGAGGAGGAGGAGGAGGAGGAGGAGGAGGAGGAGGAGGAGGAGGGTGGAGGAGGATTTGGAAGAGGGGAGCAGGAGGAGGAGGAGGGAGGATAACTACGCACGACGTTCTTTCCAACCACAGGAATCAGGAGTCAGGAGGAGGGAGGAAGGATCAGGACGAGGAGGAGGAGGAGGAGGCGGAAGAGGAGGAGGAGGAGGAGGAGGAGGAGGAGGAGGAGGAGGAGGAGAAAGATGAACACATAGAAAAGGAGGAAGAGGCGGTGGCGGTGGCGGAGGAGCAGCAGGAGGAGGAGGAGGAGGAGGAGGAGGATGCGGAGACAGGATTCAGGAGGAGGGAGGAAGGATTAGACGGAGGCAGGAGAGGCAGGAGGCGGCAGGCAGGACGAGGGAGGATGAGGATAGCGAGCCTCCAGACAAGGAGGGAGCGCTCTGGGCCCCCTCTCTCCTCCCTCCCTCCCCCCTTGGCGAGGCTCGTGGACGATGACTCCGACAACGGGTGCCACTGCACGGACGGCTTGCGCGCTGCAGGGGGAGGGGGGGCAACGGACCCGCGTCGTGGCGGTCCGCTGCGGGAGGGCACGGAAGGGTGCGCCTACGGCTTCGTAGAGAGAGAGCCCCGCCCTCCTCGCGTCGTGGAGCAAGAGGAAGCGCAAACAGGGATCCGGGCGCGTGGATTGGCGACGTGCCCCGTTCCCGTGGTTGCGCACTCGGTGCGCCTCGTGGCCAACTCGGGAAGCACGAAAGGTTTGTTTTATTTTCAAGCGATAATCGGCGTTGTCAGGGGCGGGGGGGGGGGGGGCGCGCGTGACGTTCCGCCAGCGCTGTCTGGGCTTGCGTAGGAATGACCAGAGGTAGCTCGGAATGCTTAGGAATAACTAGGGGGCCACATGCGAACCCTATCCCTACCCCCCCACGATTTCTGAGGGGGAGGGAGGGACGATTTCTGAGGGGGAGGGTGGGAGTTCTGAGTGAACCCCACCCTCCCCCTCAGAAATCGTGGGGGGGAGGGGGGAGGGTTCGCATGTGGCTCCCGAATAACTAATGACGGCGCTGGCACGAATCGTGACGTTAACAGGGGGTGAGGGCTGTGGCTGGTCACGGCCGCTATCACGAAAAGCAAAAAACGTTCTCCGCTGGCCTCACAGTTCGGGGGCACATGCTCCTCCGATCAACGGATCTGGCGCCACCGCGCCGGGTTCAAAGTTCCCGAATCCATGTTGGCAGGCGCCCGAGGAGCAACCACAGTGGCAGGTTTCGAACATTTTCGGCATCCGAGGGCCGGGCACTGTGGAACGTCAGAGAACGGTCGAGGACGAACACAGCAGGTCTCCCGGATGCCATCTTCGCTGTGAACACATCGCGACGTCGGAGGACCAGGAGGAGGTTGGACTCTCTTGTTGCCGGTCACTTCGTGGGGACGTGCTAGAAGAGCGGCAGCGCCATCTTCAGCACTTGTCCGATCTGGAGCGTCGCCGATGCCGGCTCGGCTCCATCGAACCTGAACGCAGAGGGAGAGAACAGGGCAAGGAGTGGGAGGAAGGCCGCGGTGGAGGAGGATCCTTGGCTCTCAGGGTATGCCAACTGTTGAAGTGGAGGAGGAGGAGGGACGGTGAATGAGGACGGGGGAGTGGGAGGGAGGGGCGATGGTGGAGGTTGGGATGGACGAGAGAGTTCTGACAGTGGGAAGTCATCGACCCATACGGGCCCCTCACTGCCCATCCATGCACCATCGATCGGGGCTTGGGCGCCTCAGCTTGCCCGTGGACCTGCGGTTTCGGCACCGGGGGCGATGCATCACCGATTCCACGTTGAGGGTCCCCTCCTCGGGGGGCACAAAATGACAAAGCATAACAACTCGGATGTCCGCACGGATTTCTCTGATCGGCGCTGGACCCCCCTCCTGGGCGCGCGGAGCGCGCCATGGCCGGCACCGGAGGCGCCGCCTGGGGGGCTCCAGCGCCGATGCACGTGGACCCCAGAGTTTTGGTGCGTTCCGTCGCTGTGCGTTCCCCACTTCTGCCCCCCCCTCCTCGCCGACACTCGAGCGCCGGAAGACAGCAGGGCCGTCTGCACCGACAGTCGCGCGTGAGCTGCCCGCGTAAGGTCGCGCGTGAGCGCCTGCGCTCAAGGTGGCGTGCCGCGCCGTCGGCCCGCGGAAGCCACCGCGTGAGGTCACCACTGCTGTCTCGCTTTTCTCGCGGCCGTCTTGGTGGGCCCCTCGTCGCCGTCTGGTCGGCCAGAGGGGGCCACGCGCTCGGGCGAAGGAGGCTGAGGCACCGACGCTCGAGCACCCCACGGCTCGAGAAGCCGGGGCGTGTGCACGCCGAGCTCCTCGGCTGCCCTGCCCTCCCCCCCCGCCGACGACGGTTTCACGGCCATGAGAGAAGCGGGTGTCGGCGAGGAGGAGGGGTCGGAGACAGGGGGGACAAACAGTAACACAGCACAACAATTCGGGGGCGCTCCTCGGATCGGCGCTTGGGCCTCCCTGGCGGCGCGCGCCAGGGAGGGATGTCCAGACGGTCCAGCGCCGGTCAGAGGAATCCGCATGGACTTCAGACTTTTAATGTTTATGCCAGTGCGCTCCAGCAACCAACAGCACGAGAAAATGGGGCGTCGGCACGCCGAACTCCTCGGCCGATCACACGACGTAACGTATACAGCGAGCCCCTCCCAGGACACCCGCCCCGCCGGCCGCATCGGGCGGCATCCTGCGAGGGATCACCGCGGGAGGGAGTTAGGGAGGAGGGCGGTGCTCGACGTGGTCGCCTGGTTCTCGTTCGGCATCAGTGCGTGTGCGCGCGTGGCGCACGACCGCGCTGGCGCTCGCAGGAGGAGGAATAATAATAATACTAAGAAGAATATGCAGACAAACAAACAGACAACACATACTAGCATTTATTCACATCAACGACAACCATAATATTTTAGTATCGCTAGTAGAAATAATCGTGGTTCAAATCTCATTAACACGAATCATGTTGAGCATGATGATCAACAAACGCCATTCTACCCTCTGCGGGGGGGCACTTCCAACCAACCGTTAGGGCCGGCCCGAGCTCGCCGACACAGTTGGGTGCGCGCGCACAATGTGTACAACAGAAGGTGAGCAACCGGGTGAGGGACATCCACAACGTCGGTTTCGAGACATACCCACCTCGGTGTGGACGGCCGGCAATTATGCCGAGACCATATGGTTTTCTCCAGAGAACGAGCTACTGCTTCCGACACGGGCTACAACCACACTTCAACGACATCATGGCCATCGTTACGACCACCTGCATGATGGCGTCCACTATAGGTCGGGACGAGCTACGCAACGTGCAACCCCAGGGAAGGCTGCGCAACATGCAGCCCGAGGGAGAGTTGCGTAACACAGGCAGCCACAGAACGACTCCGAGTACGCCACCAACACCGACACCAGGAACGACGTGACCGAGCTGACTCAAGGGGGTTTTACGCACGTTGTCGTGGAGGCACCGGTCAACAACGGCCGCGCCGCCTACGACGAGTACGGCTACGGCTGCGCCTCGTACGATTGTGCTAGTGCGACTACGACATGTTTTTCGAAGGGGATCTGCGCTCCTACGACCGCCGCGATTACACCGGCCGCCACGACGTGGAACAGTACGACGTGGCAGCCGACTGTTCCGATTCGGATTCCAGGGGCTGCGAAAAGAGCGCGCCGTCTGAATTGCTACAGCCACCAACAGAGGGCCACCAGACGACCTTCGGGGACCACAAGCTGAATTATGAGGACCTCCAGCTGAGCCGCGAGAGGCACCAGGAGAGGTGCCAGGGCCACCTGCTGAGCTACAAAAGCCACCAGCAGCCAGCAGAGCTACAAAGGCAACCAGCTGAGCTATGAGGGCAACGGGCTGATCTACTAGGACCACTAGCAGGGCTACGAGGACCACGAACTGAGTTACGGGAGCCACTTGCAGAGTTACCCAGGCCTCATGCTGAGCCACCAGAGCTTCCAACAGTTCTGCGACGGACGCCCTCTCAGCTACGCACCTCCAGCTCAGCCGCGAAAGGCATTGGGGAAAGGCACCAGGGTCACCAACTGATCTACCAGAACCACTAGCCACGCTGCGAGGGCCACCGGCTGAATTACGAACAGGCAGTACTGCGAGGGCCACAAGCAGGGAAACAAGGACCGCCTGCTGAGCTACAAGGGCAACCCTCAGAGCTACAAAGGCAACTGGCCGAGCTACGAGGACCGCATGCTGGTTCACAAGGACCATACGCAGGGCTACGAGGACCAGAAACTGCCCCAGGGGAACCACTGACAGAGCGACGTGGGCCACCTGAGCCACCAGAGCTTCCAAGAGACCTGCGAGGGCCACCAGCTCAACTACGAGGATGACATGTACATCTTCGAGGGCTACGACGACCGACAGCAGGCGCAGGTTTTCAGCCTGAGTTGCGAGGCCAACCAGCTGAGCGCAGTGGGCAACCAGCTGGGCAACCTGTGCTGCGAGGGCCACGTGCTGAGCTACGAGGACCACGAGAGGAAAGACGAGAGCTTCCTGGAGAGCCAGCAAAGCGACAAGCTGTGCTAATAGGACCTGGAGTAGGACTTCGTGAGCCACCAGCTCAGCTTCGAGGGCCACCCGCGCAGCTCCGAGGGCCACACCCCGAACCACTCGGCCTGCGAGCTGAGTTACGAGAGTCTCCTCCCTTCTGAGCTACCCGGGTAAAGAGCTGAATCGAGCTGCCAACCAGCTGAGCAGCAAGCTGCGCCACGAGGGCCGCAACGCAGAGCTACGATTCTTGTACGGAGTCGTCGTCGTACCAGGACCACCCGCTGTTCTACATGACCCGACAGCAGAGCTACCTGGGCCACCAGCTGAGTTGCGACCCCCGCGCGCTGAGCCCGGGGCCACCAGCAGAGCTGCCAGGGTCAGTCTCTGTACCAATCACCGCCCACCAAACCACCCCAACCCAACCCGAAGCCCTCAATTTGCCCTCCATTTCCAGTGGGGGGTGGTCGGGGAACGTCGAAAAAACACATGGAACCCGTACCCCCCCCCAACCCGAAGTTGGGGTCAAATTCGGGTCTTCGGGTTGGGTTGGGGTGGTCTGGTCGGTAGTCAACCAAGGGATCCACGTCACGAACACCAGGGCCCACTGGTGACTTGGAAAACCAGAAAGCGGATCGCAACCGGCGACGCAGTGCCGAGCAGGCTCAGCAAGACATGCGAAGATTGTGTCGTGGAAAAGCTGGACGAGACGTCTGCCTCCGTACGCAGGCTGGACGGCACTGCGCGCCAGCTTCAGCGCGTGGCTCTCCGTCGGCCGCAATAGTTGCGGCGAGACGGGCCTGCCTGAATCCGGAAAAGATTACGACCTACAGCGCTGCGGGCAACGGAATATAAGTACATCGTTACGCACAAGATACTACGTCTACTTTAGCTTGGCGCCTGAACTGCGGCATCACTTGAGAGGCCCGGCCGCTCCCTCCACGTCCTCGTTCTGTGGGCCTCAGGACTAGAGTCAGGGATCAGGTGGCCTCCTTCCTCCCCCTCCCTCCCCTGGAAAGGGTGGGCCCCCGCGCGACGGCGTTTTTTGGGATCGCCCGGACGCGTTGCGAGAGAGAGAGAGAGAGAGAGAGAAAGAGAGAGAGAGAGAGAGAGAGAGACAGCGAGAGAGGAAGAGGAAAAGGCAGAGGACGGTGGGCGAGCTCGAGATTGGGGTCAAGCCGCTTCGGGGGCCAACGCGAGACGGGTCGCAGGCGCCCTGTTGGAAGAGGGATTGCCACCCCTCGGCCGCGCTCGGGCGGAGGGACCGGGGCGGGGCCCCCTCTGCTGCCCCAGGCGCGCTGGCAGCGCCGCGCAGCCGGACGAGCGAGCGAGGAGGAGGCGTGCCGAGCGAGCGAAACAGCGAGGAGGAGGAGGAGGAAAAGGAGGAGGAGGAGGAGGAGGAGGAGGAGGAGGAGGAAAAGGAGGAGGAGGAGGAGGAGGAGGAGGAGGAGGAGGAGGAGGAGGAGGAGAGGAGGCGGCGTGCCGAGCGAGCGAAACAGCGAAGAGGAGGAGGAGGAGGAGGAGGAGGAGGAGGAGGAGGAGGAGGAGGAGGAGGAGGAGGAGGAGGAGGAGGAGGAGGAGGAGGAGGAGGAGGAGGAGGAGGAGGAGGAGGAGGAGGAGGAGGAGGAGGAGGAGGCGGCGTGCCGGCCGCACCCCGCCAGGACAGCGAGCTGAAAGAGATGCTCGAGAGGCTGTCGCGCAGGTCGCCGGGAGGCTCCCCCCTCTCCCGCCGCGTTCCGCGCTCTTCGCGGGGCGGGCCCTCCAGGGGGCGCTCCAGCGATCGCACCGCCCGAGGGGCAGCGACGCCCGCGGGCGCCAGGAAGACGAGCGCCCCCCGATCTCTGACGGTATGACTCGTTTATCCGTTTTGTGTCTTGTTGTTTTCGATGTCGGCCATCGGGGGGCCTGCCAGTGGGCCCAGAGGAAGTCCAACGTGCTCGAGGAAGAAGAGCTGCAGCCACCCCCGGGTCAGGTGGTTGGGGCCGCGGGCGGAGCAACGACGCGTCGGCGGACGTCGGGGCAAGAGGCGTTCTTGAGGCCAAGAGCGCCTGGGGGCTGGACACAGTTGGCACCTCTGGCCCCCCTGTCGGTCATGCCAGCGGCGACGGAGGGGGAAAGATTTAATCGGGGGCCCCGAATCGGCTTCGTGACCATGCCCTATGGTGAATCAGTGTGGCTTCGAGGTGGCCGCACGGTCTGGAGACTCGGGCCGTTCTCCGAGAAGACCTCGGGCGATTGGGGCCTCCAGGCTTCTAAAACCATGTGGTGACGGACCGTGCGATGATGCCCTTGGGGATGTCGAGGTCACCGCACGGTCCGTCACCGCACCGTTTTGGGATTCGGCGACCTGTTGCGACAGGTAACCCTGCGGTTCCAAGCGGCGCCGTGGTATCGGACACCCCCCGTTGGGGCTCGCTTGGCTGGAAGCGTCCTCCGAGCTCAGGCCTGCAGGGGATGACTCATGCGTGGCTGCCTTGAAGAGTCGGAGAATCCGAGGCTGGTCCCGCCGTGGCCGTCAGGGCGCGCCCGGAGGCCTGCGGGAAATGCCAGTGCAGCTGCCACCAACCTAGAGCCTCGAGCCCCGATCTGCAATCCTCCTCGGGAGAGCCGTCGGGGGGCCCCCTCGTCGCCACGTCAAGGTTCGCCACAGCTCAAGTACCACTACGGCCCGCTGTCCGATATCAATGGGGACTGCGAGCCCCCGCAGCCGGGGCAGTCAGACGAGTCTCGTGGGAGGCCTCCCCGGCCGACAGGCGTCAGCTCGAGTCTCGTCGTGTGCGTCATCGGCGCGAACTGACCTGGTCCGTCCGCGGGGCAGGCTCCTGACACGCGGAACTCGGCGGTGCCATTGGGCTGGCCCCACGCATCGAGCATGACGACCTCCAGCAGGGCTCCCGGGTGGAGCTGCAGCTGCTGCAGCGCGTAAGGAGCCAGCGGGAGGTAGATCCAGTGCGCCTGGACCCAGGGAGGGGTTCAGAGACTGAGTCGGGGCTCTCGCTGTCTCCGTCCACGAATCGGAGCCCAGGGCCCCCTTCCATGGGTCCATCCTGGCAAGTCTGCTGAGGCGCGCGAAGATCCGCCAGCAAACCTCGATCTTCGATCCTCAGAGGCCCCAGCACTCAGAAGGAAAACAAGAGCGCCCCCCCCCCAGAGCGGCAGCGAAGGGCCGCCTCGGAGAGGAGGCGTGAGGAGGAGGAGGAGGATGAGGAGGAGGGGGATGGGGGAGGAGGAGGAGGGAGGAGGAGGAGGAGGAGGAGGAGGAGGAGGAGGAGGAGGAAGAGGAGGGGGAGAGGGAGGAGGAGGAGGACGACGAGTAAACGTCCAAACGCCTATTAATTGCTTGTTCGAGTCAAACCTCGAAGATGCCCCCCCCAGAGCTGCAGCAGCTGCCGCCTTGGAGCGGAGGGGGGAGGAGGAGGAGGAGGAGGAGGAGGAGGAGGAGGAGGAGGAGGAGGAGGGGGAGGACCAAAAGGACCAGGAGGAGGAGGCGGAGGAGGAGGAGGAGGAGGAGGAGGAGAGGGAACGGGTGGGCCTCTTCCTCCTCCCGTGTTGCATGTGAATTGCGGCCGTTACCACCGTTGCCGCCTCGCGTTGCACGGCCGTGGCCCCGTGAGCAGAAGAGGGCACAGGCGCCGACGCCGACGACGACGACGACGACGACGTCAAAAACGACGCCGACGCCGACGACGCCGACCACGCTGACACCGAAGCCGTCGCCGAAGCCGACATTGACAACGACGACGACGCTGGCGACGACGACGCCGACGACGACGACGACGACGACGACGATGAAGACGAAAATGAAGACGAGGCGACGGCGACGCCGACGGCGACGGTGACGGAGACGGCGACAGCGGCCACGACGACGATGACGCCGACGAAGACGCCGACACTGCTGCCGCCGCCGCCGGCGCCGAAGCCGACGACGATGACGCCGCCGACGACGACGACGCCGAGGCCGACGCCGACGCCGACGGCCGCGCCGACGCCGACGAGGATGACGACGACGAAGACCAAGACGAAGATGAAGGCGACGCCGACGCCGACGCGGACCATGACGACGACGACGGCGACGCCGCCGACGACGACGAAGACGGCGATGGCGACGCCGATGCCGAAGCCGCGCCGACGCCGACGCCGACGCCGACGCCGACGCCGACGCAGACGCCGCCGCCGACAACGACGAAGACAAGGCGACGCCGACGCCGAAGACGCCGCCGACGCCGAAGGCGACGCCGACGACGACGCCGACGACGGTGGTGACGACGCCAACGACGACGACGACAACGACGACGGCGACCCACGTTTACGTTCACATTCATTACGATCACAATCACGATCACAATCACGATCACCATCACGTCAACGCCGACGACACCACCGACGCCGACGCCGACGCCGATGCCGCCGACGTCAACGACGAAGACAAAAACGAAAACGAAGACTTCAACGCCGACGCCGAAGCCGACGCCGACGTCGACGCTGACGCCGGCGGCGATGACGCCGACGACGACGACGTCGACGCTGACGCCGACGCCGACCGCGACGACGACCCCACGTTTACGATCACGTCAGCGATCACGATCATGATCACGATCACGTCAACACCGACGACGCCGCCAACGACGACGACGACGACGGCGACGCCAACGACGACGTCGACGACGACGACGAAGACCAAGACGAAGACGAAGACGCGGTGACGCCGACGCCGACGCCGACGCCGACCACGACGATGACGACGCCGACGCTGACGCCCGCGCCGACGCTGACGCCCGCGCCGACGCCGACGCCTACGCCGACGCCGACGACGACGCCGACGAAGACTGCGACGGCGATGGCGAGGCCGACGCCGCGCCGACGTCGACACCGACGCCGACGCCGACGCCGACGCCGATGCCGCCGCCGCCGCCGCCGACGACGACGACGACGACGACGAAGACAAAGACGAAGACGAAGACGACGCCGCCGACGCCGACGCCGACGCCGACGCCGACGCCGAAGCCGACGCCGACGCCGACGCCGACGGCTGCGGCGACGACGCCGACGAAGATGACGACGACGACGACGACGTCGACGACGACGACGACGACCTTTCGTTCGCGATCACGATCACGATCACGATCTGCTTCCCCCCCCCAGAGCGGCAGCAGCCGCCAGAGCCGCCGCGCCCCGCGGCCGCGCCCCCGCCTCCAGCGCGGGAGGAGCCTCCGCCGGCCCCTCGGCCCCTCGGCGGCCCCTCGGCGCCGCCGTCGTCGGCCGCCGCGCCGCCGGCGCCGTGGCCGCCGCGCCGCCGCCGCCGTCGGCCGCCGCGCCGTCGGCGCTGTGGCTGCCGCCGTGCGCCGCCGCCGCCTGTCGGCTTACCGTGGCCGCCGCTGCCGCATTCGATGTCCAAGGTCTGAGGCATTGGTTTTGGACGTTCGAGGTTTTGGGGTGGTTTCGTCGGTCCTCGGCGGTTGTTTTTCTGCTTCGGGATGGATTCCAGTGGCCGTGCCTCGCCGAGAGCGTTCTTGGGGTGCCGGGATCTTCCCGAACGGCCATTGGAGACTCAGGTTATGACCCGAACACCACCCGGGGTACGGTCAGGAACTTTGGCTTGTCGTGTCGCTCCGCCAGTCCTGGCCCACCGCGCTGCGGCGCGACACGCTAATCCCACGTCCAGATCCCCAGGTGTTCACGTCGCGAGCCTTTTCTGGCCTCCCTCCCCGCGGAGCGGAGCGACACGCTGTCCGCGCGCAGGGCTCGGCTTGTCGCCGGGGCCGCCGCCGCCGCCAGACAGTCAGGCCGGACGATCAAAGCACGTCGATGCAATGGGATGCAGCTGGCTGTCAGTGTCGGGCTCGCGTCCCGTCTCCCGCGGGGCTCCGACGAGCCCAAACGGGCCACGACGTGCATGCAACCGGGGCGCGGGAGCACTGCCCCAGCCACGTGCGCGCCCGCCGGCCCTCGGTGCCCGTTGCCCGCGCCGCCCGCGCGGGCCCCGCCCGGCCGTCCCTCGGCGGTCTCTCGGCGGTCTCCCGGGGGGCCTCGGAGGGCCTCGGAGGGCCCTCGGAGGGCCCCCGGAGGGCCCTCGGAGGGCCCTCGGAGGGCGCCCGTGGTTGCTCTCCAGTTCCTGGCAGCCCGACGCGCGCCGGCGTGGCGGGGGTCGCGGTGGCCGATGCGGCCGCCCGCCGCGCCGCGGCCCTCCGCAGGAGCGGCCAGCAGCGGCGCCGCCGCCCGCGACCGCCGACGCCCACGCGGAGCAGAGACGGATCCTGGCGCCGCAGTGGGGACGGGGAGGGCGCGGGCTGCGGAGGAGAGGCCGGGCAGCTGCCCTGGGCCCCTCGGTGTTGTTTAACCGATCCCCACCCCCATCTCCATCCCCTTCGAGACCCCCACCAAATTACCACCCCAGTTGGGGACACCCCCCTCGAAACCCGAGGAGAACGACCTATATCCCCATCTAGGGGGGTAAATCGGCCAGCGGGGCCCAGGCCACGCCGCTGGGGATGGGGATCGGTTCAACGATACTCAGCCCCGCGAGGTGCGCGAAGACGAGCACGTCGCGCCTCGCCGGGTTCCAGGCTTCCAAGTGGAGTCCGAGGAGGTGGGGCCGGAGGATCGCGCCGCATCGCCGATGCATCGGCGATGCGGCTCGATGTGGTGCCCGATTTTCTCCACGCCGACGTCTCCGATGCATCGGCGGTGCGGTTCGTTCCTCCGATCATATCTACTCGGACCCTATTAGGGAGGTCTCCACGAGTGCGATGCGCGCAGGAGTAGGGGCAAGCGAACGGGCGATAGTGATGACCTCGGCGAGCTGTCGGAGGTCCGCTCTGACTTCTCGGGTCATTGTTGTGCACTCTCTCCGCGTGCCCAGGTTGCGCCTGTGGCGCGCTCCGCGCGCCAGGGATGGGGTGTGAGGGGAAGGAGGTCCCGGCGCCGGACCAGGAGATCCGCGGGGCCTTCTGGAGTTTGTGTTCTGTGCTTGTCTGCTGGCCCTCTGGCGGATAGGCAGGCCAGAACGAGGGCGGCCCTGCGAGGTGTCGTCTCGAATGCGCGAGCAAGGGATGAAGCGGCAGTGTCCGGGGCATCTCTCTTCGTGTATCGGCGACGTGTCGCCGATTCCAGGCCGATGCTTCCTCTTCCTGGAGCTGGTCCGAGCTGATCCCATCCTATCCTTGCCCCTCATCCCCCCCCCCAAACTTGCGCCTCTGTCGTCGTCGTCGTCGTCGTCGTCGTCGTCGTCGTCGTCGTCGTCGTCTGTCGTCCGTCGTCCGTCGTCCGTCGGTCGTGCTGGCTCTCCGTTCTCTGTCACTGGGCTCCCCTTGCGCTGGTAGACGAAATGGTGTCGACGAGGGCCCTGCGAGCGCTTCAGAGCACGCCCATAGTCATATCCGCGATTCAAGGTTCTCGCCGACGGCGGCAGCGTAGACGAGGATGACGACGGCGAGGCCCAGGAGGAGGAGGAGGAGGAGGAGGAGGAGGAGGAGGAGAAACGCAACAGCTCCTTCGCTAATGTTGCCCAACGAGAAGAGACATGGAGGAAGAGGAAGAGGAATAGGAGGAGAAGGAGGAGGAGGTGGAGAACCAGTGTCAACCCAAGACTCATCAACGATGTCGGAACACGCCCTCCCTCCAAGATCCCTCTTCATAGGCTCCATACAAGGATTCATTTCCACTGGGGGAAATGCCCCGTTGGGAGACAACCGTGCGAAAGTTCTGAAGTGTGCCAAAACACAACTCTCATGACTCCAACGCCACGAGTCCACCTGGCTGTTCTTGGCATCGCTCGGACGTGTGCATTTTTTCTTCGGCGAGGACCATCGAGGAGCATCCTTGATCAGTTGGCGAAAAATCACGCACGAAACCGAATAACACAGGGAATGGACGTCCGAGCGATGGCGAGTGTTGCGTCTCGACGACCCTGAATCGTGCCAGAGTACCATTCCTGGCACTCCAACGCCGCGAATCAACGCACTTGTTACGCCCCAACAATCTTGAATCGCTCCAAGACGCCATTTCTGTTGCGTTAACCATGGGAATCCGTGAAACGCTTGCGTCTTTTTTTCCGACGGATGTGCGCGGCGCTAGGGTGAGAGCCAGATTTTGCAAATGAGCCGTCCTCAATCCGGGGAGCTTGAGCCTTTTTTTAGTCTGGGCGGTAACGCTCGTGATCGCCCCCGCCTCTCCCCCCCCGATTACGCCCGTTACCGCGGACAATAAACAACGAATCCTCTTGCAAATCTCCGAATCGAATTTGCGCGGCGCGAAGGCGAGTCCAACATCTTGAAACCGACCTGTTCTCAATTTGGGAAGCTTTTGTACATGTTTAAGTCGAACATACGCGGCGCTCAGGCGAGAGCCACATTTTGGAAACGACCCGCCCTCAACGTGTGAAATTGTTGCCTTAGTTCCCGAGCTTCAGGCTCATACATATCATGGAAGTCTCAGGCGAAACGCCTGGCCCGCCCTTCCGACCTGGCCTCGGGGTGCGACCGGGAGGAGCTGCCCGGAAGGAACAGGACGGTGGAGGTGGAGGAGGATGGCTGCGTCTGGCAGACCCTCGGGCTATCAGGCACCAGGCGCCAGGAGGACGAGGACGACTGCCTGCGACGACGCGCGCCGAGCGCGCAGCGACGGCAAGGTGCACCGCCTCTTCGAGGCCTGCGACGCCGACCAGGCCCTGCCGCACCCCGGCCGCCCTCCTCCTTTTCGCAGGGGCGCGCAGGGGGGAACGGTGGCCAGCGGGCGGCCTCGCAGGAGTCCCCTCCTCCTGCTCCTCTCCTCCCCCTCCTCCTCCTCCTCCTCCCCCTCCTCCTCCTCCTCCTCCTCCTCCTCCTCGTCCTCCTCCTCCTCCTCCTCCTCCTCCTCCTCCTCCTCCTCGAGGCCTCTCTTGAGGGTCGGCGGCGAGCCCAGGGGGGAAGGTGAGAAAGGGCAGGCCTCCTCGGGAGGCTGCGGGGCTTCTCGGACACCCTCTGGCCTCCTGCGACGCCGTCGCCGCCTTCGGAGCAGGCGCCGTTCTCCGGAGGCGCGATGGGCCTCTGGGAAGCCCCACCGCCCTCGAGAGGAGCAGGCTTTTGGTTCTCTCGAGGCGCGAGGGCTTCTGGGAAGCCGCACCGCCCTCGGAAGGGCCCGCCCCCTCACACCTCCCACCTCGTCGCGCCACCTGCGATGGTCAGGAGGGAAAGAAACACACAGGCACAATCAACCGTCGACCCCCAAGAGGAAATATGGGAAACTATTGGAAGTGTGGGGGGGAGACAGACACCCAGAAAGATCAGGGAAACATGAGGGATCCTGCTGCTTGTGTCTATTTTGTTTCTGTGCCCCTGGGGCCCCCCGAGATGGATCGGTGCCGCGCTGAACCGCGGGCGGGTCGCGCGGGGGGGCGCGCAGGGCGGCCGCGCCCCGCGCCTCGCGGAGGAGGAGGAGGAGGGGGAGGGGGAGGAGGAGGAGGAGGAGGAGGAGGAGGAGGAGGAGGAGGAGGAGGGGAGGAGGAGGGGGAGGGGAGGAGGAGGAGGAGGAGGGGGGAGGAGGAGGAGGAGGAGGAGGAGGAGGAGGAGGAGGAGGAGGAGGAGGGAGGAGGAGGAGGAGGAGGAGGAGGAGGAGGAGGAGGAGGAGGAGGAGAGGAGGAGGAGGAGTGCGATGCTCCTTGGGCGCGGCGCCTCGCTCAAAGGGCGGCGGCGCGAGGGCGCGGAGGTGACCTGACGTCGGGCCCGCCCCTCCACAGGAGGGGTGCTCCAAAGCAGTCAACAAAAGATGCCTGGGGGCTATTTTTGAGTACACCTTAGGCGATGCTCAAGAAAACCCAAGTGTTCGGCCATAGTCTCGATTATTCTTAATGTTTCAATGTGAATCCTAAGATTTGAATAGGCATTCTGGGTTTTTTCCCCAAAGTCTGAGACTATGAATTGCTTAACCCATGATTTCTAAAGCATTTCGCAGGGTGTAGATGTTTGGACATCTTCTGGGAGTCTGTTTTGAGTGTTTTGGATTGTTCGCCCAAAATCCTCCGTTTCTGGGCTCAACATCCTTCGCTTGGAGAGCAGATTGTGAGGATGTCTCAGGCGGGGCTCTGGTTTCAGCACCCCTAAGGGGGGCCGCCAGGGGTGTTTGCACGGGCTCGTTCGCGGCCATTTTGTGGGGATGTCTCAGGCGGTTTGCTTGTTTCTGGGCTCAACATCCTTCGCTTGGAGAGCAGATTGTGAGGATGTCTCAGGCGGGGCGCTGGTTTCAGCACCCCTCAGGGGGGCCGCCAGGATGTTTGCACGGGCTCGTTCGCGGCCATTTTGTGGGGATGTCTCAGGCGGTTTGCTTGTTTCTGGGCTCCCGTGGGGTCACTCGCATTAGGGGTCACTCGTCTTCGTCGGCCCTGTCGCCCACGTGGACGCGCTATTGTAGTCGACCGCTCATGAACAGACGCTCACCACGGCATCTGAGGAGGGCGCGCCGCCGCGGCCCACCTAGAAGGAGGAGGAGGAGGAGGAGGAGGAGGAGGAGGAGGAGGAGGAGGAGGAGTAGGAGGAGGACAAGGAGGAGAAGGAGTAGGATGGTCCTCGTCGTCGTCGTCGACGTCAGTCGTCGTCGCCGTCGCCGTCGCCGCCGCCGCCACTCTCTCTCTCGCGCGCGCCGCTTCCTGTGGACCTTTTGAATGCTTCTCGGGAGGCCTCCTTGGCCTTCTTGGGGACCTCTGGGGACTCTTTGAGGGAGTCTTTGGTCGTCTTAGAGCGTTCCTGGCCCATCTGACGCCGTCCGAGACCGTCTTTGGGGCCTCTCGGAGCCGACTTCAGGCCCTCATGGGCCGGGTCAGGGCGGTCTTCGAGGCAGCCTGGGCGTCTTGGAGGCCTCTTGGGTCGTCTTGGGGCCTTCTTTGGACGAACTGGAGGCATCTTGGACTCTCTCGGGCCGTCTTGGAGGCCATCTTTTGACCATCTTGGGCGGACTTGGAGGCCATCTTGGAGGCCATCTGGAGCCGTCTTGGGGGATTTTTCTGGGATTGAGCTCCTGGAGCTCCCTTTCGGGTGGCCAGCGGGACGGGCCGAAGCGCCAGGGGGAGTTCTTCTGGAAAAAGAACCCAAATCAAAAGCGGAAGGTCCGAAGCAATTTTGGCGGCTCAAGGTTCGCCGAGTTCGGGAGGCGCCAGGCTACAAGCGGCGAGCAGTTGCTCAAGCTCTTGGGGAGTGATGGGATCGAGTACCATTGGTTCGGTAAATCGGTGGCCGTTAGCTCCGACGGGGCCCGTGTGGTGGTGGGGGCCAACTACTATGACGACCAGGACACCGATTCTGGCTCCGCGTACGTGCTCGACGGGGCCACGGGCGAGAGGCTGCTCAAGCTTGTGGCGAGTGATGGGGCCTTATTCGACAAATTCGGTACTTCGGTGGCCGTGAGCTCCGACGGGGCCCGCGTGGTGGTGGGGGCCTACTATGACGACGACCAGGGCAGCAATTCTGGCTCCGCGTACGTGCTCGACGGGGCCACCGGCGAGAGGCTGCTCAAGCTTGTGGCGAGTGACGGGGCCGCAGGCGCCTTTTTCGGAATCTCGGTGGCCGTGAGCTCCGACGGGGCCCGCGTGGTGGTGGGGGCCTACGGTGACGACGACCAGGGCACCAATTCTGGCTCCGCGTACGTGCTCGACGGGGCCACCGGCGAGAGGCTGCTTAAGCTTGTGGCGAGTGATGGGGCCGCAGGCGACTTTTTCGGAATCTCGGTGGCCGTGAGCTCCGACGGGGCCCGCGTGGTGGTGGGGGCCTGGGGTGACGACGACCAGGGCAGCAATTCTGGCTCCGTGCACGTGCTCGACGGTGCCACGGGCGAGAGGCTGCTCAAGCTTGTGGCGAGTGATGGGGCCGCAGGCGACTATTTCGGAATCTCAGTGGCTGTGAGCTCCGACGGGGCCCGCGTGGTGGTGGGGGCCTCTAGTGACGACGGCGGCTCCGGCTCCGCGTACGTGCTCGACGGTGCCACCGGCGAGAGGCTGCTCAAGCTTGTGGCGAGTGATGGGGCCGGATACGAAAAATTTGGTAATTCGGTGGCCGTGAGCTCCGACGGGGCCCGCGTGGTGGTGGGGGCCTACTATGACGATGATCAGGGCACTCAGTCTGGCTCCGCGTACGTGTTCGACGGCACCATCGTCACCACCGAGACGGCCACGAGTTCCGCGACGTCAAGCACTACTACCACCATCAAGACAACCACCGAGACAACAAGTGAGACGACCACCGCGACGACCGCCAAAGCTGGCCACGACGACCACCGATACGGGCACGAGTTCGGACACATCAAACAACACAGCCACCACCGAGCCATGGGGATTAATTGCAGTCTTCGCTGGTGTCTCGTTCTTGGTCTGCGGCGTCGCGCTGGGCTGCCTGGTGAGGCGCGGATGTCCTGGCCGTGGCAGGGGCCCAACACCCGAGCGCGGCATTCACAGCGCGGAGGTTGAGGCCAACGTGTCGGAGCAGGACGCGGAGATCGATGAGCACGAGTCGGATCACCGTATTTAGCACGACGCGGAGGTTGAGGCCTTCCTATAATCTCCCTCCCTCCTCCTCGCTCCCTGACGCGCCGCGCAGCTATCCCTCGCAATACGTTGGAGCAAAGGGTACAACGATAGCCGCCCGAGGCACTGCGCTATACTTTTTTCTCTTCATAGCATCAGTAACTGCCTAGTCTGGTCCGACACAGACGGCAGTCTTTTTGTAAGGTTGCGGCTACATTCAGCACCAACCCTTTGGCGCTTGAGCGCCACGTGTTCCCACGCACCAGTGCCTAGATCGCCCCACAAAAAAGGCGGTGTGCCGTTCGCGCCAAGGCGTGTCAGGCTGCAATGCTGGCTTGCAGGCGACGTCCGCCTGCTGTCAGCCCAGTGAATTGACTGCATCATTTTTTCAAGAGCTGGTCGCGGAAAAAAAAGAAAACAGCGGAATGATTCAGCACGCCAGGCACCCCTCTGATGAATCAACAGGGGGCGGCGGAAAACGCTTATGTGGCCGAGAGTTGGGCCAGAGCTCGGCCAAGCTATCGGGCCAGTTGTTCCCCGAGTCGGTTTGGAAAGACTTCGGGGAACGCGTGGGGGGCAAGACGTGGAGGAGGGAGAGGATCAGGAAAAAGGAGGAGGAGGAGGAGGAGGAGGAGGAGGAGGAGGAGGAGGAGGAGGCCTCTTGGGCGCCTTCTGGGGCAATCCTGGGGCTTCCTGGGGGCTTGCTGGGGGCCTCTTGGAGGCCTCTTCGGGGCCTCCTTGGGCCTGCTGGGGGCCTTTGGTCTTGGGGGTCTCTTTGGCAGTCTTAGGGCGTTCCTGGCTTGTCTGACGCCGTCGGAAGCCGTCATGGGGGCCTGTCTGGGTCGTCTTGGGGCCATCTTGGGGCATTTCAGGGCTGTCTTCGAGGCCATCTTGGGCGCCTTGGACGCCTCTTGGGTCGTCTTGGGGCCCTCTTGGGGCCGTCTTCTGAGCTTTTTGAGCCGTCACGGGGCGATCTTGGAGGCCTCGTGGGCGATCTTGGGGCGATCTTGGGGCCTCTTGGGCCGTCTTGAGCCGTCAGAATGCCGAGAAGAAGCAAATGCCGCAATCTGTCAAAACCCTTCGAAAAACACAATGATTTTGGTTTCTTCGGGCCCTCCTGGACGACCGCTTGGAGGCGTCTTGGGCCGTCTTGGGCGCCTCTTGGGGGCCTCTTGGGCCGTCTTAGGCCGTCTTCGATGCATCCTGGGCCGTCTTGGAGGCATCTTGGGGCCATCTCAGCCGTCTTGGAGGCCACCTTGGCCGTCTTGAAGGGCCTCTTGGGGCTGTATTGGGGGCCTCTGGGGCCGTCATGGGGCCATCTTGGAGGCCTCGTGGGCGATCTTGTGGCGATCTTTGGGACATCTTGGGCCGTCTTCAGCCGTCGGGATGCCGAGAAGAAACACATGCCAAAATGCTTCAAAAACCTAAGGAAAAGCAATAATGTTGGTCTCTTCGGGTCCTCCTGGGGGACCTCTTGGAGGCCTCTTGGGCCGTCTTGGAGACCTCTTGGAGGCCTCTTGGGCCGTCTTGGGCAATATTGAGGCCATCTTAGGCCGTCTCGGATCTTGGAGGCATCTTGGGGTCATTTTAGCTGTCTTGGAGGCTATCTTGGCCATCTTGGATGCCTCTTGGGGGGCCTCTGGGGCCGTCATGTGGCCATCTTGGAGGCCTCGTGGGCGATCTTGGGGCGATCTTTGGGGCCTCTTGGACCGTCTTGAGCCGTCGGAAGGCCGAAAAGTAGCAAATGCCAAAACCTGTCAAAACCCTTCGGGTCCTCCTGGAGGCCCTCTTGGAGGCCTCTTGGGCCATCTTGGAGACCTCTTGGGGGCCTCTTGGGCCGTCTTGGGCAATATTGAGGCCATCTTAGGCCGTCTTGGAGGCCGTCTTGGACCATCTTGGGCTGACTTGGAGGCCATCTTGGACCATCTTGGAGACCATCTTGGGCCAATATGACCATCTTGGAGGCCATCTGGAGCCGTCTTGGGGGATTGTTCCGGGATTGAGAGCCTTTCAGGGTGGACGGCATGACGGGCCGAAACCCCAGGGGGAGTTCTTTTGGAAAAAACCAAAACCAAAACCGAAAGGGTCTAGCACGCTGGGCACCCCTGTGGCACGCCAACAGAGGGCGGCGGATCGAAGACGCCTACGGCGAATCACTGCCGCCCCCTGCCTGTTTGGAAGCGCCTATGTGGCCGAACGTTGAAGCCAGACCCGCCAAGCTATCGGACCATGTGTTCCCCGAGTCGGTTTGGAAAGCCTTCGGGGAACACGTGGGCTTCTTGAAGGTCATCTTGGCCGTCTGGAGGCCATTTTGACCCTTTCGAGCCTTCTTGGAGGACGTCTTAGAAGGCTCTTTGGAGGCCTCTTGGGCCGTCTTGGGGGCCTCTTGGGGCCGTCTTGAGGGCCTCTTGGGCGATCTTTGGGGGCAGTTGGGCCTTCTCGGGCCGTCGGAAGGCAGAAAAAAAGCAAATGCCACAATCCTTCAAAAACTCATAGGAAATCAATGATCTTGGCTTTTCCGGGCCTTCCTGGAGGCCCTCTTAGAGGCCTCTTGGGCTGTCTTGGGCCATCTTAGGGCCATCTTCGGCCGTCTTGCCGTCGGAAGCCGTTTGGGGGGCCTCTCTGGGTCGATTTGGGGCCCTCTTGGAATGCTCCAGGGCAGCCCAAGAGGCCATCCTGGGCGTCTTAAAGGCTTCCTGGGCCGTTTTGGGGCCTCTTGGGGCCGTCTTGGGGGCCTCTTGGGCCGTTCTGGGGCCATCTTGGAGGCCTCTTGAGCGATCTTTGGGGGATCTTTGGGGGCTCTTAGGCCGTCTCGGGCAGTCGGAGAGCCGAAAAGAAGCAAACGTCAAAACCCTTCAAAAACCTAAGGAAGATAAGTGCTTTTGGCCTTTTCTGGTCTTCCTGGAGGCCCTCTTGGCGGCTCTTGGGCCGTCTTGGGCAAGCTTCGAGTCAACTTTTGCCATCTTGGTGGGTTCCTGGCACGTCTGTCGCCGTCGGGAGCCGTCTTGGGGGCCTCTCTGGGACGACTTGGGGCCCTCTTGGGGCGCTTCGGGGCCGTCTTAGGGGCCATCTTGGGCGTCTTGGAGGCCTCTTGGCCCGTCTTGGGGCCCTCTTGGGGCCGTCTTGGGACCGTCTTGGGGGCCTCTTGGGCCGTCATGGGGGCCTCGTGGGCATCTTGGGGACGTCTGGGGGGCCTCGTCGTCAGGGCTGTCTTCGAGGCCATCTTGGGCGCCTTGGACGCCTCTTGGGTCGTCTTGGGGCCCTCTTGGGGCCGTCTTCGGAGCTTTTTGGGCCGTCACGGGGCCATCTCGGAGGCCTCATGGGCGATCTTGGGGCGATCTTGGGGGCCTCTTGGGCCGTCTTGAGCAGTCGGAAGGCCGAAAATAAGCAAATGCCCAAATCTGTCAAAACTTTTTGCAAACCAATGATTTTGGCCTCTTCGGGCCCTCCTTGAGGACCTTTTGGAGGCCTCTTGGGTTGTCTAGGGCCGTCTTGGAGGCTTCTTGGGCGAATTTGGAGGTATCTTGGACTCTGTTGGGCCGTCTTGGAGGCCATCTTGGACCATCTTGGAGGCCATTTTGGGCCAACGTGGCCATCTTGGAGGAGGCCATCTTGGGCCATCTTGAGCGAAATATTGGGGAATTGAGCTCCTTAAGAGCCTTTCCGGGTGGCCGGCGGGACGCGCTGGAGCCCCAGGGGGAGTCTTTTGGAAAAGAATCCAAACCAAAACCGATAGGATCCAGCACGCCAGGCAGCCCTGTGATAAATCACAAGGGGGCGGCGGATATCACTCTCTGGTGGCCTTCGGACCATCCTGCCACCGTGCTTGGGTTGTGGGACAAAGGCCTTTGGACACCTGTTGGGATCTCTTGAGAGGTCTCTTGGATGCTTCTTGGATGCGGTGTTTTGGGGCCTTTCGAGGTCCTCTTGGGGGCCTCTTGAGGCCTCTTTTGACCCTCTTGTGGGCCGCCCGGGGCTCCTTGGACACCTTTTGGGGACCAGGGTTCGAAATGTCAGTTCGTGTTCCCCCTCTTGGGGGCCCTCTTGGGGCCCTCTTGGGGGCCTTGTGCGCCGTCTCGGGGCGAACGAGCCCGTGCAAACACCCCTGGCGGCTCCCCTTAGGGGTGCTGAAACCAGCGCCCCGCTTGAGACATCCTCCAAATCTGATGTGTGTTGAGTAAGTCTGTGTATGAGTAGGTCTGAGTATGAGTATGCCTGAGTATGAGTAAGTCTGTGTATGAGTAAGTCTGTGTATGAGTAAGTCTGGGTATGAGTAGGTCTGTGTATGAGAAAGTCTGTGTATGTGTACGTCTGGGTATGAGTAAGTCTGAGTATGAGTAATACTGTGTATGAGTAAGTCTGGGTATGAGTAAGTCTGTGTATGAGTACGTCTGGGTGTGAGTAAGTCTGTGTATGAGTAAGTCTGTGTATGAGTATGTCTGAGTGTGAGTAAGTCTGAGTATGAGTAGGTCTGAGTATGAGTAAGTCTGAGTATGAGTAAGTCTGAGTATGAGTAGGTCTGAGTATGAGGAAAGAGGAGGAGGGGAGGAGGAAAGAGGAGGAGGGAGAGGCAGTAGGAGGCGTCCAAGTAATAACAAGAACCCCATCTTAGGATATGGGGAATAAAACATGAGATGCACATATGGGGAGCTCGACGCAGTGAGTAATTGATTGTTCGCCCAAAATCCCCCTGTAGGGGGACAGGCCCGAGGCCCGACCGAAAGGTAACCGCGCGCGTCGCGGGGCGCGATGCGCGAAGCTGCTGTGACCTAGGCAGCGGGCACACCTCGAGCAGGAGGTCGATTGCAGAATCGATGTGCCCAGAATTGTTTTCGCCGTCGAGTCCACAGCCAAGGGCGTACAATGTTCGTGCATCTACACAGGCTCTACGTCTCTTCAGTGGGTTCGGCGAGCAGTGTTTGGGGCTGAAGCAATTCTGCAGTCGATCTACTCGAGCCCTGTGGCGTCTCGCCGCCAGCACTTCTCCATGGGCTCTGCGCGCCCCCCCCCCCCCCGGGCGGCCCGAGCGTGCAGAGCGAGCCGTGCCCCCCGGCCAAAGAAGAGGGCGCCCTGGGCCCGTGCGTGATGGCCCCAGTCGAGCTGGTATCGGGCCGGGCGAAAGGGGGGGATTCGGAAAGGGGGGGTTACGAAATCTGCTGCATGCAGCTGATTTCGGCCTCACCGAGGGGCCCATTTCTCGATACATGGCCGCCTCCGGCGCCGGGAGGCACCGGGAAAATCAGCTACGTGAGCTGATTCGAAAGAGCGTGTTCTACCGCTGCTGGCGGAAAACCGGGGGGGGTCACTACCGGTTCGAACCCCTCCCCCCCCCCCCCCCTCCGGAAAACCGGGGGGGGTCACTACCGGTTCGAACCCCTCCCCCCCCCCCCCCAGCTCATCATGAAAAGGGGGGGGGGGTCACTACCGGTTCGAACCCCCCCCCCCCTCGAAAACCGAGTGGGGGTGCGGACAGTGGTGGGGACGGTGTTGGTGGGGACAGTGGTGAGGGGACAGCGGGACAGTGGTGGGGACAGTGGGGGGACAGTGGGACAG